TGGTAAAGTCCAGAACAAATTATGCAAAGAAAGCTCATATATTTTTGTGAGAAAATGTTGTTTCGGGATGGCTCTGTGAAGATAATTTGAACCAAATTTTCTTTCTTACATGAATTGGATTCTTCCTGTAGGCGGTGGTTCATGTATCCAGCCACTGTTCGATTCGACGAGGGGCTGCAAATCGCCACAGCAATCAACGTGGCTGGCACTCGAGAGGTTCTACTGCTGTGTCCGGACTGTCTGAACATCAAAGTCAGTGCAATAAATTTCATTCACCTGAATCTCTATATCTTTTTGTCTTCGAAATTGCTTGTAAAGAAGCGTAGTAATTCTTCTCTAAATGTGTATAGCAATTGTGTTGCAGTAATTCTTTTTAACCTGTACGGGGAATGGCTTGCCAAGGAAGCTCTGGATGGAACAGGAGACTTCAAAATTGGAGGAAGAGTGATAAAGACTGTAAAGTATGCAGACGACTTAGTAGTATTGGCAAAGGAAGAGGAGGAATTACAGAACATGATGGACAAGTTAGTGGAGACAGGTAGAGAGTATGGAATGGAAATCAACATTGAAAAATCAAAGGTAATGAGGATAGCACCGAGAGCAGAACCATTGAACGTTGTAATTGGAAACCAACAGATGGAGAATGTGGAGCATTTCAAGTACTTGGGAAGCATAATCACGACGGACGCTCTATGCACCAAGGAGGTAAAAGCAAGGATAGCCATGGCCAAGGCAGCTTTCGTCAAGAAGAGGATACTTCTCACTAGCAAGTTGGGCTTGGAGATGAAGAAGAAACTAGTGAAGTGTTACGTATGGAGCAGAGACTTGGACACTCAGGAAGAAGGAACAGAAATACCTGGAGAGTTTTGAAATGTGGTGTTGGAGAAGAATAGAGAAGATCAGGTGGACGGATCGAGTGACCAACGAAGAAGTATTGAGGAGAGTCAACGAGCAAAGAAACATTCTGCAGGCGATTACACGAAGGAAAGCTAACTGGCTGGGACATATTATGAGAAGGAATGGATTAATGAGTGATATCACCGAAGGCCAGGATGAAGGAAAGGGAGGACTAGGAAGAAGATTGATACAGCTAACCGACGACCTTAAACAAGGAAAGAAGATGACGTTCCAGGAATTAAAGCGAGAAGCCGAGAATAGGGAAAACTGGAGAGCTCTTTTTGGGCAGAGCAATGGACCTGTCGTAAGACAGAACACTTAATAATAATAATAACCATTCTTTGCTCTTGTTGCTTGAAGAATTCTTAGAAGGTCTTACCCCGCAGAAAATTACTTTAGAAGGATGGAGAAGGAAGAAGGTTTAAAGACGCTCGTAGAAGCATATATTTTTTTAAAATCGTTATCCTTTCTTACCTGTAGGTCCCGAAGTTTATATTTATTGATTTGATCTATTTTGACAATGGTAGGACTCCTTGGATGAGTGAATAGCCCATCACAAGGCCTCTAAATTCACAAACACAGAAAGACGCGGACAAACATTCATACTTTGAGTGGAAATCGAACCCACGGTCCCAGCGGCGAGGCGCACGATTTCCATGCCTCAGACCGCGTGGCCACTGCGACCGGCAGAAGCATAAGTTTAGACGGTGAAATTCTGTAAGTACTCATTTATTTTTTGGAGGATACTTTGCTTTGTGTTGACTATGAAATTTAGGTGTAGCTAATTTTCCTTCTTACACGAAGAGGATATTTTCTGTAGATGGTGGTTCATGTATCCACCTCGTTCAGTTACTGCCACCGCCCATCCATCGACGCACAGTTCTACGAAATTTAACCGTTCGTTTCCACGGACTGGTAGATCACAGCGTCTTCTATGTTGTGGCTGGTCACACACTGCAGTCCATCCCGGACTGTGCGCAATTGGTGGAATATTTTGGGTCTTCGGTATTTCTCAGGGAAATTTGCTAGTCGGTAGGCAACAACTCAACTCAGTTGTGTGCACGGCCAGTTCGTAGCAAATCAATCATTTACTTTATTAATTTCACAATCCTCTTACAAATTCACTGCCACCTCCGCTCGTACGTCCAACTCTCCCAAGCTCACAAAGTGTTGTGTTGCAGCAGTCGGCAAAACTCCTTCGGACTTCGTCAGAGAACTAACGCCACTCATCACGCCATTGCCAATTGTAAGCGTATAAAATATATTTTTTTTAAATTCCCTTTTTTGACGTAAATACGTCTGTACGGAAGGGTCATTCGGCAAAAAAGTTAAAGGAAAACGTGTAAAGCCGTGTATCGATTGCGCGCGGCTGCCACAGTTCTCGCGAGATCACCATGAATACTGCACGTGCAGCGGCTGCCTTTATGTTGATGTTCAACATTATCGAAGAAAATAAGAAACCGAAACGAAAAGTGCGTTGGTGAATGAAGGAATTGTATCGTCAGCGAATGCAATATGGAAATAGACTTATGCGAGATATGACATTTGAATTAGTGGAAGATACAGTTAAAAATTTTACTCGAATGTCATTATCGGATTTCGAACACATAACCTCATTGATCGAGCCAAAGGTGAAAAAAATATACACCCGATTTCGAGAAGCGATTACTGTGAGGGAGAGGTTGGTTATTACCTTGAGATTCTTAGCTACTGGAGACTCCTATAGAAGCTTGCAATACCTTTTCCGAGTGTCCAAACAAAGTATATCAAGAATAGTGACCGAGGTTTGCGATGCTATCGTCGAGGCCCTGAAAGCTGTATGAGAGCTAGACACTTTTCATTCTCCATTTTGCCGCGAAATAACACCGGAACGCCACAAGACCTTCGCAATTGAAAGAGCACAGCACACTGAAATTCTTTTGCCGCGGGACAAAGAACCGCTCCGATTTGGCTCGACACGCGCCAAGTTCGCGCGCAGCAACATGGTATCGACTTTGCGAGGCAAAGCAACGAACATTGCCTCGCCCGGCAGCCGCGCGCAATCGATCTCCGGCTTAACGAAAACGTGCAACGAAAATGTGTAAGATCCGTATCAACAAATCGACAACAATGGTTACCTATGGAACGTCGTGTTAACTCGGCATTTTTGTTACCTAGGCAAACGTTTAAGATCCATATCAAGTTTGTCCCACTATACGCCATGTAGGCGCTTGGGGTGAGTGGAGGTATAACTCCTCTCTTTCTTGACCTCGGCACTAGATGGGAGTCAGTGGTCAGCATCACGCCCCGGCCGGCTTTACCCTCGGGAAAGGACCCCGGTACCCATTGTAGAGGAGGCTGGGTGGGCCCCAGAGCCGGTCTGGAAGAAGAGGGTAGAAGGAAAATCCTCTGCCCCCGTCGGGGATCGAACCCCGGTCGTCCAATCCGTAGCTAGTCACTATACTTACTGAGCTATCCCGGCTCATAAAAGATCAATATCAATAATGTGTAAATATGGACCGACAACAATGGTCAGCTTGCGTGCATTGTTATGTTACCTAGGAAATGTCATCTGTTTACTCGGCATTATTGTGTTACATTACTGCCGTCAACAATACACTTTCGTTATTGCGGGAAGAGCTAAGCTGTGAATCGCTTGTAGAAAAACTGCGTCGTAGACTACATAATTTTGACATTTCATTATATTACATTACATTTCCTTACAATAAATTACATTCAGCTACCTTCCTTTCATTGTATTTATTGCTTAAATTTAATTTAAATACAGAGACGTATTTACGTCAGATTTTCCGGAATCGTGGTTCCACTGTCAATTTTTGTCCTGACTGTTGAATTCTGTCTTACTAAGCTTCTAATATGTATATTTTATTGATTGATGTCCTGTCGCTCTTAGCCAGAGCATAGGGCCTCGACAAAGCAGCGCCAACAAGTTCTATTACGAGCCAGAAATTTCAGCTCCTTCCAGGTCTTTCCTCCTTCTTTGCCTCCTCTTCAATGGTTCTCCTCCAGGTTGATTATGGTCTTCCCCTCTTCCTCCGTCCCTGGGGATTCCAAGAGAGTGCTTGCTTTACGACAGCGTTTTGGTCCTTCCGCAGGGTACGTCCAATCCATCTCCATTTTCTGCTCTTAATTTGTGTGGCTATTGGCTCCTCATTTGTTTGTTTAAAAAGGTCTTCATTTGTTATGATGTTGGGCCAAATCACACGAAGGATCCTTCGGAGGCAGCGGTTGATGAATACTTGGAGGCGCTTGGTGATATTAGCGGTGAATTTCCAAGTTTCGCATCCATAAAGAGTAGAGCTTTTACATTTCTCCTCGCCTTGACACCTTTTCCCGCTCCTCCGTCTCTGGTAATTACGGTATAATATTTAAAATTTATTATTCACGATTTATAAGATATTCATGCATGTTTATATGTGGTTTGAGACATAAAACTCATCTCAATAATATTCAGAACATCATTTTATGTTCTAAACGTAAGTGATCACATTGCTTCTCCTTTACTAAGATTTATTCCTTAATGCTGAATAGAAAAGTAATCTCCTTTTGTTGAAAATTTGCAAAGTTCCCTAAACTGAAACAGGTATCATGTAGGCAACTCTGCTTTAATTATTAAACTTGCAGCACAAAATTATGTTCACATATCTGACAACTTACGGTCTGAGGTTATTTGTGTCCCAAAGAATTAAGAAGTCTTTAACAATAAGCTCATGAGAAGGATTACACTCAGTCAGCAAGAACATTTCTTTGCCAATTTCTAATTTTTTTGCATCCTGCTGTCATTTACACAAGTGGTATTCAACCTTTTTTGTTCGCGTAACCCCAGATAGAATTAAAAAATTAATAAAGGAACAAAGGTATTTTAGCAAAGCAAAATTATATGTTTAAATATTTTATCAATTATTAATTAATGTGGTTGAGATCTGTTAATGAGATGATTGAGTTTGTTTCTGGCACACCAGCACCTCAATTCGGGGACGAATATTCGAGAGTGCGAAGATCAGAGATGGTTCTGGGTTCAAGCGGTTCCTGCTTTTCGTTTTGATTGATGTCAGTGCGGGGTAGCCTTGCACACACAAATACGTTGATGGGAATGGCAGCGTCACTAAGCTCCTTGAACTCTTTGTGGGCAGTATCCAAAAGTCGCAGATTGACATATTTTCGAATTTTATTTTCAGTGAACCGTCAACGGACATTTCCAGCAGGTTTTCTTTTAATTTTAAGGGAAGATCAGAGGAATTGATGGCGGTGGCATAAAAAGTGTTTGTAATCCAATCTTGGATATTATCTTCTCCCTCAATTTCAGGAAATTATTCCAAAAAATTTATCCTGAGGTTTTCCAAGTGGCATTTCATTATTTCCAAAACGACGTCAGTAACGCTAACTTTATTTTGTTCAGTAAGTTCAAAAACAGTTGGGAAAACTGCAACATTCCCATTATTAACACAGTTAATCCAAAACAGATGTTTCTTATTAAATCCTTTTACCATCGCACACGCTTTAAAAATATTCTTGTAAAACCCTTGGAGCTGAAGATTGAGATCATTAAATTTGTTGAAAATATCTGCCAAATAAAGTAACTGACAAAACCAGCCTTCATCTTCAAAATAGGTAAACAAATCGGATTTCAATTTTGAGAGGAAACACCTGCGGTCTAGGAACAGGGGTGACCTTGAATCAAGTGCCACAGGGGAGGTTAAGGCTGGGCGCAGACCAATGTAGCAAAGCTGCTTTTGCCAAAAGCGCTTTTGTTGCAACGTGCTGAAACATGCTTTCGTATTGCTAAAGATAGGACTGGCGCACACCGATCGAGCAAAAACCAAAGCGCTTTTTAGCACGATGTAGCAGAATGAAGCAGAAAGCATTTTGCTCGTCTCACTTTCTCAGACCATTGCTCGCTCGTGAAGCAAGATGTAGCATTTTGTAGTGCGCATGCGCCAGCTGCTGTTCGTCATTTGTTTTCAAGTTAGATTACAGTATTGTGTTGTGATCCGTTCTCCAGCTGTAATCCAAAATGGAATTGATGCAGAAAAGTTAATCGTAGCGGTAGAAAAGAGACCGGCTTTATATAATTATCTATTAAAAGAGCATTATTTGAAAGATATAATAGAAAAACTTTGGGACGAAATTGCCAGGGAAGTGGTTGCTGTAGCAGGTAAGTGGAGAATATGTTGTTTTATAATAATCTAAATATATTTTATCCATTACCATAACAAACACACTTTTCTAAACCGTTTTCCATACATTTTTTCACCCATGTATAATTTCTCCCAACAATAAAACAATAGCACAGCAACATCCTCATCATCTTCAGCCATGACGACGACTGAGGACTGGATCCCATCTCCTCGCACATTTTCTTGAAAAGACGGGAGTTCAGTGAACGAGACTTGATTAAATTGACTACTTTTACTGATATGTTCAGTCTTTAGTGTAAATCAGGAGTAATTATTTTCGCGACCAATCTTTGTTTGTATATGTTGCAGTGTTGCCAGTTGATTTTAGGATTAATTTCGCAAATACGCGCAATAAGACCGCTTCTTTGGCCTGTCATTGAAGCAGCCCCATCAGTGGATAAACTGACATACCATTCCCACTTCAAATCGAATTTCAAGCCTTATGAAATTATGAAGGATTTTAAATATATCTTCTCCCTTTGTATGTTCTGGAAATTGTTTACATCCGAGAATTTCATCAGCAATAGCCCCTTTCTTAACATCTAAAATACCGAATGTATACAAGCAGCTCGGCTTCATCAGAAACATCCACCGATTCATCAATTTGAATTGCAAATCTTTTGTCAATTTTAATGTTCTCTGTAATTTTCTCAATAACATCTTGTGTCAAGTCATGAATTCTGCGACCTACAGTTGTGTCAGAACTCGGAATCGTTTTATTGCATTTGCAGAT